TGTCAACAGCTTCCAACACCAAGGCCGTTGTTTCTGTGACACAACCATGGATCAAGATGTGTTTATTGTGATATAACAGGGAAAAGTGGGCCAGGCCAGGCGGGTGGGACGGGCTGCCCCCTTGAGCCAGAGAAGTGCTTCCCTCCTGGGCAGCGGGGGGAAGGCCACCCCCGTCTTCCCCTATCACCAGCGTGACGGACGCTGTGGCTGAGAAGTGGGGGGTGGTTGAGGCCCAGTGGCCTTGGAGTCTCCTGCTGGACCCTGGGCGGAGGCAGGGAGCCTCAGATCTCATCAGCAGTGGAGGGAGACCTCAGGACAGTGCGGTGGTGGGGACGTCCCTGTGGTGCCCCGTCCCGGCCTCCTGGGTTCTGGTGTTCCAGGAGGATCAGGAGCACCCCAGCCTCACCGAGAGGGTGCGTCCAGACTGCTATGGCCTTGTGGGGGGTGGGCAGCCCCTTGCAGTGTGCCAGGTGGTCCGAGCCACAGAGAGTGATCAGTTTCACTCGGGATCTTGGGGGACCCCCCGCCCTATGAGGGCTTGCAAGCCGTGTCTTGAAGAGGAGGACTTCAGGGAGGTGACTGTGGACATTTGAAGTTCTGAGGGGCTGAGGGGGCATCAGGGTGAGTCAAGGACTGCAGAGGGGCATGTGACCAATTCCACATGTGGGAGATGGGAGCCTGGGCCTCAGGCAGGAGGCGGAGCCAGCACCTGTAAGTCCTGGGAGGGCCAAAGGCCACAGGGTCTGCTGGGGACACCCAGTGATGTGCTGAAGTCCATGGGCAGGAAGGCGCAGCCGGCAACAGACCTCCATCCCCAAACACAGGGCCTGAGGTGGAGAAAGGAGGCCACTGGCCAGCAAGGCCCGGGCTGCGGTGCTGGGCCAGGGGGAGGAAGGGTCCTGGTTGCTGGGTGTTTTCACCCTCTCGCTGGGTGACCCCTCCCTTGGGAAGAGCTCTCTGAAAACAGGCTGCGGAGGGCATGGACCTGACGTGCGGTGTGTAGTCACCAGGTTCCGGCAGTGACGTGAGGCTCCACCTCACGGTGACATTCGGTGGCCATTGTGAAAAGCAAGTGAGATGGAAATGACCCTGTTGCCAGGCCAGCCCAGGGCGGGGGATAAATGGGCACCAGAGCGTCCAGGCAGCAGAGGAGGGCACAGAGCAAGAGCACGGCCACCATGCAGCTGCTCCTGCTGACCCTGGGCCTGGCCTCTGTCCTGCACGCCATGGAGCTGCTCCCCGCCCAGCCTGAGGAGGTGAGCACCCCGGGAGGCCGGGAGGGGAGTGGAACCCTCCTGGACCGGCCCAGCCCCAGGTGGACGTTGGCTGAGGCCCTTGGTGCCTTACTAGAGACATGGGCACTGGGTAGGGTTGGGCAAGCACACTCCTGTGGGCAGTGGACAGCTAGGGGAGGTCCAGCCCCATTGGAGCCTGTCTGGTCCCCCGTGAAGGTGGCTTTGTTGTGTCCCTCGTCTTGCAGGGACATTCTCTTCCCCTGCTAAGGCCCGGCTCTGAAGCAGCCCGTTGGAAACACTGTGTCTCTGAGTTTTGATTTTCCCAGGACAACACATTGGGGGGATATAAAATTCACATTTGGTCAAGAATTTGTGACTTTCAAAAACTCACAGAATTGTTAGAGAAGGACAGGGGTCCACAAATGTCCAGATGCCACCTGTCTCCAGGCTCTTGCCTCCTGGGGCACGTCACAGCCTTACCTCCTGGGATCCCCATGCCTCCTGTTGGGCTGATGTTGGAAGAGGCCACTTCCCTTGGCCTCTTTGGGAGCTGGCCAGCTGCAGGCCACACTGCCATCCTCCTGGGACCATGCGCCCCTCTCTGCCCACCTGCATTCCCACTCTGCAGCCTCTGCTTCTCCCTGGCCCTTAGGGACTGGGTCACTCCGCCTGAGGCTCGTGGGTGGCCTCTGGTCCAGGCGGTCCCTCCTAAGCAGCAGAGGCCCAAGTGAATATCCACACCCTCAAAGATTTGCCTGGGCAAGATGGTTGGCTGCTCATGGTGGGGAGCTGTGGAAAGGTGTGGCCTCCTCCCTGGCCTCTGGTCACTGGGGCGTCCCCACAGCTTGTAGGAAAGTGGCACATTCTGCTTTGGATGGGGAGCCCCATAATTCCTGGCCTTATGATGACCAGCCCCCCGCCACCACAAATGACCCACTCTCTGCCGCCCTTTTGGATGGAGCTCTCCAAAGAAGGCATGATGATCGAGGTACAACTCAGGTAGGTGCCTGGTGGGACTGGAGGGGTGTTCCGGTTCTGCCCGCCCACCCCGCTGGGCAGAGGGAAGGGGTGTCTCCCGCCCCTCACCTGCCTTCATCAGGCTGCAGCCATGGGGCGCTGGCTTGGCAGCTTCCAGCAGCCTGCCGCCCGTGCTGCCTTTACATCACAGCCTCAAAGACAAGGCTGCCAGCCTCCCCTGCCTCCCCTGCCTCCCGTGCCCCTGTCCCACAGGCCCTCCCGGAGGAAGCTGTTCAGCAGCCTGGGTTTGCTGTACCCTTCATTGCTAGGAGGTCCGTGGAGACCCTGGGGCCTTTGGGGTTACAAACCATGGTCACTGGTGGCTCCTTGCTTCACACTGGGCTCAGCCAAAATCTAGGAGGCACAAGGTTCATGAGGTTCTCTGCAGCCTCACCTGCTCCAGGAGCACCAAGTGCTTCCTGGTGGTGCTCAACACCAAGCGTCTCCAAGAGCTGCCTGATGTGCCCTCAGCCACCCCGGGTCTGGGGCCCCAAGGAGGCCCGTGCAGCTTGGTGGCACCAGCCTCGAGGGAACTGCTTGGTGCACAGATCTAGAAACAGAAATGGAAGCCCAGGGGCTTCCTGAGAGTCCGGGGAGCCAGCAGGACACTGTGGTGAATTGCGAATGCCTCTGAGCCCCAGCCTGGCCAGCTGGGGACTGCAGGTTGGCAAAAGTTGGCCCCTGCCAGTTCCACCCTGCCATCCAGTCAGGGCAGGTCTGTACCCTAAGGAAGCACAGAGGCTGGGAGCTGCCGGCACAGGGCCCCCACCCCGGGGCTCCCTCAGATGCTGAGAGCAGAGCTGAGGATTGGTGCAAAGAGGTGGCCGGCCCAGGCCTGTCGGCCCCACCACTGACCCCACTTGGGCCCGGCAGGAGGGGCCTGTGTGGGAGGGCCACAGGCTGTCTCAGGGTGGCCCAGCATGTGGGTGAGACACCTGTGTGTGAGCTCATGTGTCCCGTGCTGCTGTCGCCCGGGCCAGGGACATGGGTGCCTGTGGACAGGGCCAGCAAAGGGTAGGGGCAGGTGGACCACATGCCCTCCTCCCTCATGGGAGACCTCGGCTGAGAGGAGAGGGCGCAGACCTCACCCCGTCCGGTTTCCGCTCCAGGCAGCCCTCCGGTGACTGTGAGGAGATGAAGACCACACTGTGGAAAACAGACGACCCCACCAAGTTCATGGCCGGTGAGTGGCGCTCAGCGCAGACCTGGACATGCCACGGCCCATTGCCGGCCCCTGGCCCTCCTGGGCTCCCGTCCCGCCGCCTGTAGGCTCAGCCTCTGCTGCAGGGAGATGGCCAGCCTTGTCCCTTGGCCAATGAGACGGAGGCCAGCGTTTCCCTGGCATTTGGGCATGTTCCCACAAGGCACGTTCTCCTCCCTGTGCCCTGGCAGGGGGTCCAGGGCCCCACAGGTCCAGGCAGCTGCCCTCTAACCAGCACAGAAGGCAGGCAAGAGGCCTCCGTGGCCCCAGCGCAGGGTGGGGGGTAGCAGCCACAATCGGGCATTGCAGAGACAACCCGCTCTTGCCCTCTCTACCTCTGGGGCCTTAATAAAATGCCCAACCGCTGGTCCCCAAGACCGCGCCCTTCCCCCCAGAGAAGCAGCAGGCGGTCCACATTTGGGCCACGAGGATGAAGATGTACTACATCATGCACACCCAGGAGAAGATGAAGGACAAGACCATGCACATGATGATGCTGATAGGTACTCACGGCCTCGTGGACCTGCCTTGCTGGCCCACCTCAGTCACCCGTCCTGTGGCACTGAGAGGCACCCACTGTCCTGACCCTTGCTGGCCCACAGCAGGTGGGCTGTAGGTGGCACAGCTCTGCAGGGGCACGGGGTGACACTGGCCAGGCTGCTGGTGTGAGGAGTGGACTCCCTGCAGAAAGGCCACTGAGGTGGCAGCCAGTGGCCCCCAGAGAAGCCAACGGCCACAGGGCTGGTGCGGGGCACCGTCATGCTCCCGGACTCAGGTTTTGGGAAAGGCTTTTATGGGCCAGGCTGGGAGATGCGGTCCTGCTCGGGAGGGGCTGGCTGATTCTGCGGGAGGGGTCCCCAAGAGCAGGCTCCTCTTCCTCCTACCTCATGCCCCAGGTATCAAGTGCAGGGCTGCCCCCCAAGGCCAGCCGTGCCCCAGGACGTGCCTGTGCAGGGAATTCTGTGTTGTGTCTGCCCTCCAGGAGGGGCGGGTGGACCCTTCCTGTAGCCCTTCACATGGGGAAAGCACCTGGGCCTCGGCCTCCACAAGGCTCATCTGTTCAGGCCCTGGGCTGGCCAAGAGGGTCTTCCAAAGCCCCTTGTCCTGACCCTGAGTCAGCAGACTGAGACCCCCGGGGGAGGGGTCGGCCCAGCGGGGGGGGGGGAGGTGCCCTCCCAGCCCCGGCCCCGGCTGGGTCTGCCTCCTCGCCCACTCCCCATGCCCTGCAGGCCCCACCATGGAAAAGAAACCAGAGGCAGTGAAGATGTTCGAGGAGTTTGTGGAGAGTGAAGGGCTGGACAAAGCCAGGGTCATGGCCCCTTCTCCCACTGGTAATGACCGGCGGCTCCGGCTCCCCTGATTTCCAGCGGGGTGCAGGTGTGGGGGCTCGTCTCACAGTGACTTCTTCCTGCCTTTTGTCAGCCCCTCCGGATCCCTGCATGACCCACCATCGCTGAGGTGAGTGGCCCTGAGGCCTCTGCACAGGAGCATGTCCTTGCAGGGCCCCAGGCCGGCAGGCCCCGGGGTCCGGGCATTTCAAAGCTGCAGTCTGTGACCCTCGGGGTCTTGATTCTATTTCTATGATGAGTTAGGGCGGTCATCGTGGGCAGGGAGGGAAGAAGATGGTGAGAGGAGGAAGGCCCTGCCCGTGCCCAGCCCAGGCAGCGCCTGCTGCCCTCTGCCCAGCGAGCAGCCTGGAGGAGGGCATATCAGCAGGGGCCTGGCTGGGCCAGCACGTGCTCTCAGTCCCCTTCCGGGTCTCAGGGGAGGACGGCTCCTGCTCTCCAGGGGCCTCAGTTTACTTTCTGAGCACCTCACCAGCTGAGAAGCCCCAGGGCCCGGGCAGTGGGTGGACAGAGTTGCCTCCTGTCCATCTCAGCTGCCTGTGCCAGGGCTCTGGGCCATGTGTAGGCTCCAGGTCATGGTTGGTCTCTTGGCCACAAGGGGACTGCAAGGCTCCTGTAGGGGCCAGCTGGTCATGGGCATGTCCACTGATGTCACGTTGGCTTTTGTGCAAATTCTGGATTGAGATGTCACTCCTGACTCCTCTGTGGACATTCTCCATCATGGGAAATGTGGGGCAGAAGGGGCCATAGTGCAGTGAGGAGGAGGCCACATGACGCACAGGGGGTGTGGGGGGGTGAGGGGCCTGGTGAGGAGGAGCCAGCCCTGCACACCCATTCTGGACCTCCTACCTCAGAACTCCAGGAGGATAAATGTGGGTTAAGCCATAGAACCAAGCCCTTCTGGCTGAGCTGTACGGGATTCGGTGGCTTAAAGCAGAGCATGCATTCTCCTCCCTGAGGCCAGCTGCCGGCAGGGCGGCCTCCTCTGGGAAGAGGGGAGCCACTCGCTTGCCTGGTCCAGTCTCCGGAGGCCATCTGCATCCCGGGCTGGCAGCTCCTCTCTCAGGGTGGAGAGCCCTCCCCTGTCCTCAGTTTACTTTCTGAGCACCTCCCAGCTGAGAAGACCCAGGGCCCGGGCAGGGAGTGGCCCGAGTTCTGTCTCCGCAGCCGGCCTCCGACTCTGGCATCAGCGTCCACGGGGCTCTGCCACACGCCAACCCTCCCTGAGCACGGAGCACGGAGCACGTGCGGCCTGCATAGAGCTGGGGGGACCTCGGTGGGGGGTGCTGGCTCCTGAGCGGCCTCCCTGGAGCAGGGCTGCCCCTTAGGCCCTCTGGCTGCTCCTCCCTGGGACCCGGCCCCAGGTTCCCAGGGCCAGGAGGGAGCTCTCTGTCTGTGGAGCCTGGCCAGCCCCTGGTCCTCAGTGCTGCCCCTCACACCTCCCAGGCTGTCGCCAAAGCCCGTCTGTGTCTGGGACCTTAGCCATTGGCTGCTGATCCCAGCTGGCCACCGGAGCATCTGCACCCTGCCTGACAGAGCCGCCCCTGCGGGCTCCTGCCCCCTGGACCAGTTCCCTGACTCCAAATAAATGCTGAGGCACCCTCCTGGCCTGGTCTCCGCCTGGTCTCCGTGTGTTGCCTGGGGGAGGGGAGGGGAGGAATCTCACTTAGGGAAAGGGGGGGCCTCCACCTCATTTCCTGAAGCCTAGTGCTTCCCCAGAGACAAGGGGTCCCAGGAGGCACCGGTGGAATTGGGGGGGTGCAGCGCCCGCCCTTCCAGGGACCAGGAGGAGATGTGGAGCCTCCGAGGTTTACGTCCCCTTGAACCGGTCTGGCAGCTTGGGGAGGGGAGTGAGTGGGTGGGGACAGGACCCAGAGCTGGGCACCAGTCAGAGCATGCACCTTGTAAGTGCCCAGCCTGTGTCCCCAGGACTGCGTGGTGTCAGGGTCCGACGCTGGCTGTTGTCTGAACCTGCGAGAGCCCCCTAAGCAAAGCCCCTGGTTACCCCTGCCACAGCACTGCTGAGAGGGGCGCGAGAAAGCAGGAGCCCCCAGCTGAGGCACCTCGCTGAGTTCAGCCGGGACAGTGGTGGGCAGGCTGGGTGCACGGGATGCGGTGTCTGGGGTGGGGTAGACACTGCCCTCCTGAGGGGCAGAGGGTGAAGCAGTGGCAATGCCCACCTGATCCTAGGGCTGCTGTGGGCTCCTCTTACTCTTTGGCTGATGTGCAGGGCTGTCCCCTCCCTGGCATAGCTGTCCTCGGGGCTGGCCTCTGATGAGTCTAAGAGACAGACCTGGGAAGTGCTGCTGACGGTGGCTGCCAGCCTGGCCCGAGCCCCAGATCCCTCCCACTGTAGTCCCACCAGGAACCGTCCAGCCCCAGGGACACGCTGGCTCCTGTTTGGACTTAGAGGGAAATAAGTGGCACTATCCCCAGAAGAAGGCCACCCTGGGGGATAATGTCCTTGTGCCTGGAAGAGTCGGGGGATTCCCGGCATCCCAAGGCCAGGCGGAGACTGGGGACAAAAGGCCCCAACCCACAGCCTTGTCCTTCCTTCCCCACAAGGCCACAGCCACAGCCATGAGGGTCTCCTGCTCCAGGTGGGCCTGTGGCATAAAGGCCATTGAGGTCCCAACGTCCTATAGCTTTGGGGACAGGGTAGGGTGGCAGGGGTGGAGTTGCAGGATGGCCTCAGGCATCTACATGGGCACAGAATGAAGTCATAGTATTGGGGACCTCTTCATCCCTCAAATGATACAGGAAGTTGTTCCCTCCAACCACCTGACCCCAAATTCAGAGTTCCTGTCTCACTCTTGGGGCAGGAGGGGCCTTAGATGACAGTCCCTGAGAGAGCAGCTGCTCCAAAGTCACCTGAGTGTGGGCTCAGGGCAGGCCCAGCTCACCACACCTCCGTGCCACCGTGACATCTGGGCCGTGTAGGCTGCCCTGGCTAGCACAGGTGGCATGCAGAGCTCTCCTCTGGAGTGGGGACAGAGCAGCTCAGTTGGCAGGGACATGGCATCCCATGGCCATAGCAGCCAACAGCCCTTCCTCTGAGAATGTCTTTCCCTAGGGCAGCCGGGAGATGGCCCTGAACACAGTAGTTCACCAGCAGGGCTCGGTGACCCTGAGTGGCTCCAGGGCAGGGCAGAGTGGGGAGCAGGGCAGAGTGGGGGGCGGGGCTGGGAGCAGGTCCAGGTGCTTCCCAATGGGGCATGATTCACTGTGGGGTGTTCCCTGGTGCCTTGGGGTGGGGAATGGGGTTTAGGAGGTCCCCTGTCCCCTTGGAGCTCTTGCCCAAGGCCTATGGGGCAATAAGCTGACTACACAGGCAGCCCCAAGTCAGCTGGCTGGGCTGGGCTGCTGCAGGCTGCTGACCTCCTGGGACTGGACAGCTCCACTGGTCACCTGCCTCTCCCAGTGGCAGGGGCAGTTGGTGAAGGAGTTGCTCAGGGTGGCTGATAAGACAAGGAGCCTCAGACACGTCCAAATCAGGTCAGTCTCCAGCCATGCGCCCTGAGCCCTGGGCCGGTCAGCCTGCCTGCCCGTGTCCTCACTGGTTCTGGCAGCCCTGTGGTCCCCTTGCCCCAGGGCAGCAGGAGGGGGGCTTGAATCCAGTCCAACCCCTAAGACTGTGCTTCCTGGGGCCATGGCCAGGTTGGGCACCTCCTAGAGCCATCTCTGCCCCTGCACCAGGGGCACTGGTGACCCCTTCCATCTGGCTTCAGGTCCATGAGTGCCTGCGTTGAGGGAAGCACCTCGTCCAGAAGACTGGGGACCCAGCTGTGTTCACAGTGGACTCAAGGGTCCCCGTCCCCACCAGCCTCTCTGTGGCCCCAGGAGCTAGGCAGCTTCCTCTCCTAGTTCTGGGCCCTGTCAGGGAGCCATTGCCTGCCCTGAGTCAGGACAGGGCCTGAGGTTGACGAGCCCAGGCCGACGTGGCAGCGCAGTCCCACCCTGCATGCTGGCGTGTGGACACCCCCACTTTAACTCCAGCGTGCCCGACCAGAGGGTGGCAAGCCCTGGGATTTCCCTTCTGGGCACAGGCAGAGCAGCCCAGCCCCCTGCTCCAACTGCCACGCAACTCATCGTCACACCTGTGGGAGCCACAGGGCTGGGTTCAGGGGACAAGGGCAACCTCCTGCTCAGGGACCAGTGCCTCTGAACACTGTCCTGGATCCTTTAAAACAACCAAATCAACCAGAGCTGCAGGAAAATAAGCCACCCGTGGATTTGCCTCCTGGATCTGGAACCTGTTTCTGGAATGCCCTGGCCTTCACAGGACTTGTCCCTGGCCCGTCCCCCTTCCTTGGCCTTACCTGGGACGTGCCCTGGGCCCAGCTCTGGGGTGATGCAGGGTTCAGTCTGATCTGCAGGGTTCGTGGCGCTGCCACATATGAGCCGGGCAGCGGGGGGCAGCGCCCAACCCCATGCCCAAGGCTCCTGAAAACATGGCAGAAGCTCCTCAGAGCAGGTGCAGGCCCGGGTCCATTTCTTCCTCCCACTCTGATGTCCATGTACAACTACGACCCATGGACTGAAGTGGACATCTGAACCCAAGCCTGCACAGCCTGGAGGGGTACCAGGATAGTGCCCAGACACCAGCGGAGAACTGAAGGAATCATGCCTCATCCGAATGCAGAGGAGGGTTTGGCCAAGCAAGGGGGTACCTTGGTGGACAGTATTGACACTTGGGGCGGAGAGCTGGGACAGCTGGTGGGCTCCCCTCTGGGGCCCAGGATGTGTGGCTGAGCTGTGTCCACGGGCCTCTGGTAGCAGTCATGGCCATGGAGACAGCAAGGGAAGGACAGGGCCAGGGAGGGGAGATGGCCATCCCAGCTGGCACCATAGCAATGGTCCTCAAGGTCAGCCCCGGGCAGCCTGTGGCTGGGGGAGGGACTCAGACCTTACTTCTGGCTACTTCAGTTCTTCTGCAGACCAGGGGGAAAGTGGGAAGATGTTGGCTGGACAGACCCCACGCTCCACTCATTGTTCCCCCAAGGCCTGCACTGCCCCTGGTTTGCTGAGCAGCCACCAACACCGAGCCGGACTCTGCTGAGCCCGGCTCTGTGTGCCAACACCCAGGCACCCAGGTCACCAAATGTGGCCCTCCGTCTTCATCCACAAAGGAGCATTCAGGAGCCCCGGGCCACCCCCCTCTCAGGGAGAAGGGAGCAAGGGTCACATTGCTCGTCAGAACACAGGAGCCCCAGGTAGGCAAAGGTCCACTGGGGGTGATTTTGTGATGGGGCAGGGACAGGCCAAAGAGGCTGTCGTGGAAGAAGGGGCTGGCGTGATGAGATGCAGTCACTGTAAATCCATCGCCTCTATGGAGGCCACCACTAGGGACTGAAGGGTGTGCAGAAGTGGACACCATCTTAGAAGGTGGTATTCCGGCCAGACGACAGGACAGGGCTGCCACTGTTCTTAGTCATCACCACAATCCCCAGATGGACCCTGGCTTCGGGGCTCAGAGTCACCACAGTCTATGAGTTAGCATCCCAGCCGGTGGGAGGACAGGTGGTCTTCTGGTAGTGGGCACCTGACTTCTCCAGGACCTGCAGATACCATCCAGCTTCCACTCGCTGTCCAGGCAGGAGGCGGAGGGTGGGCTAAGGAGCGGGCAGGGCACCTGCAGGGCAGGCAGCTGGGCACAGAGCACCTGAGAACCTGCACTGCACTGAACTGCCACCCTCAGGGTGCCCGGCCTCCTTCCTGAGAGTGCCGTCTAGGCAGGGCCCTAGAGCCCCCAGCCCCAGCTCTCCCACTTGGGCAAACCAGCAAGAACAGTGAAGTCCAGCAGCACACCTACACACCAAGGTGACCATCTTAGAAGCACAGTCTCTGGTGAAGAAGAAGCCAGGACCTGGTGCCAACCTCAGCAGGGAGACGCTCGCTGAAATAGAAGGCTGAGGTAGGGCCCAGAGACTCCAGACCCAAACCATCAAGGGTAAGCAAAAAGTCACTCGTCAAACCAAGAACCAGAAAAATCCCAACCTGAGCAAGACAACAGCAAGATGCATCAGGTGCTGAGATCATCCACAGGATTTTAAAGCAGACACCACAAATATGTTTCAACAGCCAATAGCAAACACACTTGAAATAAAATGACACACTCAAGCCAGGAGCGTTGGAACACACCTGTGATCCTGGCAGCTTGGGAGGTTGAGGCAGGAGGACAGTGAGTTCAAAGCCAGCCTCAGCAATAGTGTTATGCCAAGCAACTCAGTGAGACCCTGTCTAAGTAAAATACATACAAGGACTGGGGATGTGGCTCAGTGGTCAAGTGCCCCTGAGTTCTATCCTGGTAGGGAAAAAGAATGAGCAGAGATAAGCTCCACAGACACTCATAAAATAAAGTTAGTATCTCCAATAAAAGCAGAAGAACTACTACAAAGCAGCCTTGCGCGGAGGTGAAAGGCCCACCTACCAGAAGACATGGCAATCCTGAATGGTACATACCAAACACTAGAGCGTCAGACTACGTGGAGCAAACCCGCAGAGGCCAAAAAAGAAATAGAGAAACCCAAGCTGAACTGTCACATCCGCTCTCAGCATTTGATGGATGAGATAGAACACCAGACCTAAAATCAGCAAGGACAGA